CAGTGACCGCCTCCTCACAAACACTGTTCGCGCCGCCCGCAAACTCTCCCAACACCGCCTGCTTCCCATTCTCCCTCAACCAGCTCGTGGCATCGGCAATGCGCTCCGCACCGATCGTCGAGCTGACGCAGGTCGAGCTCGTCCCGGAGCCATCGCTGTCCAGGTACTGGTGCATTTCGTAGATGAGGTGGTCGTTGGGGTCGGTCAGGTTGACGAGGTTCGTGTTGGTGGTGGTCCAGGTCCAGGCGCCTGTGTAGGAATTGCCTTCGACGAAGATGTATTGCGTGGTGGCGCCGGTGGCGCGGATGGCCGTGATGGCGGCTTGGTTGAGGTTGAGGACGAGGGTTTGGTCTTCGTCGTGGAATTCGTTGTCTATTCGCTATTAGTATATGCTGCTGAAGATTGGGAGGAGGTAGGGTAGGTACTGGTATCGAAGATGACCAGGTCATTGTCGGTGAACTCGCTGGCTACGGTGGTCCAGAAGGCTGCGAAGTCGCTGGTCGAGGTGATGATGTTACCGTAGCTGGATAGCATATGATATTAGTTCCATACCAAATGAGAGGCTAGGAAGGGAAAGACATACTATCTCCCAAAGTTATGCGGATCAACCACAGCATAAGCACCCAGATCTGTAATGGCTTGCACCGTCTACACCACACCCCCATTATCATCAACATCAGCGCGTCTTACACCCAGTAGGGGAGCTCACAGCCTTCAAATCAGTCATATACGTCGCATCCACCGCACCAGTCAACTCATTAGGCACCAATCGCTCCATGAGAAACGGCACGCGAAAGATATTCATCCCTGCACTATGCAGCGTCTCGATGGCCGTCGCATCAGGCCAGATGTAATCCGTGCCCAAAGTACCGGGGATATTCCCGGAGCCGAATTCAGCGCCGGACTCATTGCTACCAAACCCTGCTCACTTATCAATATGTATCTTCAGAAAGGGTAGTAGAGGAAGAAGAGGTACATTGAAAGCCCGAAGACCGCTTCGCCCTCGGACTGCTACTCGCAGTCCAGGCTTGAACGAGCAGGACAGCTACAAGGGAGAGAGTCTTCATCTTGCTCTGTCACACAGTATCCGTTTCTCTTCTCTGGCTGTGCTTCATACCATTCTGTCAAGACAGATGAAACCAGTCATTTATATCCATCCCATCACCAACCATCGCACATTCTGCCAGAATACTATCCAACTACCCGGCAGCCGGACCGACAATCCATAACACTTCATCAGACACCCATCGGCCCATTTCCTAAACAAGAGCGGGCGACCGGATTCGTCACGGGTGCGCAAAAGAAACCAAGAACCAACCGGTTTGTAGGTAACTTGGTTCATGCTCTTTCCCCTTTGCTGATCCGGAAAGGACCGGATCGTCATCGCTTCGGGAAAGGGGGAATGGAACGGAAAACTAAAGCCAAGCTTCCTGCAGAGGATGCATGTATTGGGTGCGGAGAATATCCCGTCCAGCCATGTGGTGTGTCTGGGGTTGGCGCTGGTCATGTCAGCACTACTTTAGGCTTTCCGCACGGATGGTCTGCAGATATGTGAGGAGAGGGGAAGGAGTTATCAGGTGAGGGTTGATTGATCGATTGATTGGTTTGTGCCTAGGTTGGGCGTCGGGTACGGGAAGTTAATTTAATATAGTATTGGTATAGTGTAGTGTGACTTGAGGAAAGTGGTTGGTAGATTCGGCGTCAAGTGATCATGTCATATTGCTCCCTAATCCCAACTAAATTGTAGTACGTGTGCTAACTATCACTTCACTACCTAATCCCTAATCTTCCCCACACTGTCGTCTCCACTATCGTCCAGAAGGTATCTACAAACACTGCGAGTAGTACGCATTCTGATACGTGCAAGTGTATCCACTCACACAAGTGGTCGGACCCGTCCAGCTCTGTCCACCACACTGTCCATATGCCTGCGCCGCCGAGGTCGAACTGCTACCGCTGCTGGTCGTCGTGGTAGTCTTCAAGGTCGTCGAAGTCGCCTTCGTGGTAGTAGAGCTCGAGCTGGAGCTAGACCCCGACCCCGAAGAAGATCCACTGGAGTAAGTCGAGCCAATGGGCCCGAACTTGATGTTCGAGTACGTGACATACGCATTGGGTGAATCCGCCTCCACAGTAGCCGGGACACCCGAGTCAGTGCTACAAGTACCGCGAGCCACACCCGGTGTTGAGGCCGACGAGTTAACGGGGTAGTCGCTGTCGAGCCAGAGCATGTTAGCGGCGTAGTCATCCCACAGACTCAAGACCAAGACCATTCCATTCGCCATAGCCTCGCCCATGCCTGCGAGACCGCCGTGCGTGTCAAACACGTTCTCATCGCCAAACAGAGTCTTTTCTGATTCACAGAAATCGGAAGTGATCGAGCTGCCGTTGACGCTGGAGTAGGTGGAGGCGCCGTTGGCGATGACCTCGCCGTTTTGCACGTACAACCGCTTGATCTCGGTCAGGGTACCGGAGGAGGTGCCGTCGTCGGTGATGAACTGGGTGACGACGGTGAAGGGGCTGTTCGTGTCGACAGTCAGGCCGGGGCCGTAAAAGTCCGTGTTGCCCAGACGGTAGGGGTTGTAGTCGCAGCCGTCGGGGTCGCAAGTGCCACTGTAGCGGTCGCCGCTGGCGCTGTAGGTTCCACCGCAGGAGTCGCCGTCGCACATGGTCTGGCTGGCGGAGTCGCATGGGTGTGCGGTGAAGGCATTGGAGATGCTGTTCGCTTCCCAGACGTCCATCTCGGCACAGCAAGAGCCGTGGTCGCCAACACCGGTGTTGACGTTGTTGCTAGAGGGCTCCCAGCCGTCGCAGTTGGCTTCGCCGTTGATGAACTTCAGGTCGCGGGGGCACTGCGAATCGCAGTATCCGGTACCGTATTTGGCGCCGGCCTTGTTGCCAGAGTACTCCGAGGTGCCGCCGTCAGCGTCCATGGCGACGAAGTACAGCGCGCCGTTGAGACCGCAGGGGAGGTTGGAAACGTCCACGTCAAAGGTGAACTCCTGGCCGAGGAGCTTGAACATCTCATAGGTACTGTCATCGCTCATGAGGTACAGCCGGGACCCGATATTCTTGCTGGAGCCCTGGGTGACGAAGTTCAGGCGCAGCTCGTCGCCGGAGGTAGTCACACCGTAGGTCGCCTCGTAAGTGGCACCATCGAGCGCGCAGTTCGCGGCGCAGGTCACATCGTCGGTACAGATCGAGGTGTCCCACTCGTTGCCGGTGTAGCAGTTGGTGGAGCTGGAGGTCGAGTGCACCCAGCGCCAATTGGCATCAATGACCACCTCGCCGTTATTGGTAGTGCAGCTGCCACTGCTGGTGCAGGTTTGCCAGGTCAAAGACGGATGCGTCTCAGTGGTGTAGGTTCCAACCTGCTGAGCATTGGCAGTGGCAAGGATGGAGAGCAGCAGAGCTGCTCGGTAGATCTGAAAGGAAGACATTGCGATTCACTGCTTGAGCTCTTGGGCTTCTGAGTTCTGCTGTGATGAATGCGAATGCTGTGATGATGATCATAGGGGAAAGTCGAGCTCCTTATACCTTTGCAAATGCATGCTGCCTATCTCAAAATTCCATGATCACGGATATGTTACGGCTATACGGACCGCATCCCGGCATGGCACGTAGAGTAGACTGGTTTCCTCGTCGCCCAATCTTGAAGCCATCGTGACAAGCGACCTCAAAGGAGACCGTTCCCTTTACCAAAATGGCAATCCGGCAGTCTGGTGGCGCCGCCACAATAAGCAGGAGACAATGCCGTTGTGCATCCGGCAATCCGCACGGGACAACCATCTCACGAGCCCAAAGAGGAAATCCAATGCAGACCATGTGACTTGCAGCGTAGCCCTATAAACAAGCCCTAATCTTATCAATCACCGCACCCCGCCTGAGTCATCAAATCATGACCGAAACCGGGCATAGATCCTCGCTGTTTCGCGGCGGGGCGCCCAACGGCCGAAATTCAATTCTGCTTCGTTGTCAGGAACTGAAGTCATTCCTAAGAGCAACCCACTGCTTGATTCAACATCACCCCACCACCTTGGTATCCCTCAGCAGCAACCACCACCATGAGCTACATCCTCACCCTCTCCTGCCCCGACCGCCCGGGCATCGTGCACGCCGTGACCGCCTACCTGGTGCAACAAAACCTCAACATCATCGACAGCAGCCAATATGGCGACCCGACCAGCCAGCGCTTCTTCATGCGCGTGCACTTCAAGGATGAATCCTCCCCTGCCAAGTCCCTCGACGACCTGCGCGCCGCCTTCCAGCCCACCGCCGAGTCCCTGACCATGACCTTCCAGCTCGTCCCCGCCTCCTCCAAGCCACGCGTGCTGATCATGGTCTCCAAAATCGGCCACTGTCTTAACGACCTCCTCTTCCGCGCCTCGACCGGCCAGCTCCCCATCGAGATCCCTCTGATCGTCTCCAACCACCCCGATTTCGCTACCCTGGCTGCTACCTACAACATCCCCTTCTTGCATCTCCCCGTCACCGCCGACACCAAGCCCCAGCAGGAGGGACGCATCTTGGAGCTCATCCGCGAACACAACATCGATCTGGTTGTTCTGGCCCGTTACATGCAGGTTCTATCGCCTACGCTGTGCGAGGCTATGTCTGGAAAGATTATCAACATCCACCACAGCTTCTTGCCCAGCTTCAAGGGTGCTAAGCCTTACCACCAGGCTTTCGACCGTGGTGTTAAGATTGTCGGTGCTACCGCGCACTTTGTCACCAGTGATTTGGATGAGGGTCCGATTATTGAGCAGAATGTTGTTCGCGTCAACCATGCTATGAGCCCCAAGGAGTTGACCCATGCCGGTTCCAACGTTGAGAGCAATGTCTTGGCGACGGCCGTGAAGTACTTCGCTGAGCGGAGAGTCCTGCTCAACGGACACAAGACTGTTGTCTTCAACTAGGTTATATTTTTGGCAGTATGGTGGTATATAGAGGATGGAAAATAATGTTGTTACTCTGACTGGACGGCGCTAGCGCTGACCTGAATGTTACAAGCGAATTCCCTCGAAGGGATGGTAATCTTCTTCTCCAGCCCATTGTTCCTCGTGCAGAGATTCGCCCATTTGGGATTTGTCCATTCCCGCGATCACGTCCCTACTAAAGTTAGTTGCGTTCATAAGCTGGGGGCGGTGCACGTACTCATCCGTCGCCAATACCTCAAAACCGGGCACACAGTCCACCAAGGCATACAGAATGTAGCTTCCCCCAAAGCTCCATACGAACCCGATCAGCGCTTCGACGATTTGTATTCCTAGCTGTCTCCAGTTGCCATCGAAGAAACACCCGCCGACGATGTCGGTGACGCCGTCGTATGCTGCGACTTCTCGTTGCGCAAATAGGCCAGTTACAATCGTGCCCAAGAACCCACCCAGGCAGTGTGTAGCAAACGTGTCCCCGTTGTCGACCCAGCGCAGAAGCTTCGCTCGTTTGGTTAACTTGATTTTGAGAGCTTGATACCCGCATGCAGCACCTAGGACGCCAAAACCCATTGCCGTGCTCATGTCGATGAAGCCTGCGCTCGGCGTGATTAGAACGAGTCCTGCGATCGCGCCTAAGAAAGTGCTGTCCAAGCTCCACTTTCCGGTCTCCCAGTAGGTCAGACTCGCCCAGGTGAGAGCGCCTGAGGAGGCGCAGAGATTCGTCACGCAGGCAGTCATGACACTCTTGAAGTTGAGAGCGAGCGTAGTTCCCGCGTCAAAGGCAAGCCACGCATTCCATATGATGATCAGGGCTAGCAGTTGGCACAAAGTGTTGTGTGGCCGATGCAATAACAAGTGCTGCGGGGTTCGAATCTGAGAGCGTCGCGACCGAAACAGGGGGTAGGAAAGGTATACACTCATTGCTGTGGCGGTGGCACCGCTGCAAATATGCACGGGAGTGCCTCCGGCAAAGTCGAGAGCACCAAGATTCGCGAGAAAGCCGTTCTCCGACCAGACCATGTGGGCTAGAGGAGCATATATGAATGTACACCAGAGCTAGAGAAATTAGCAAATGTTGAGGGACGAGGAGACTGCTCTTACAAAGATAAATGGAATCAATGGAAGGAGCCGACCGCGCTCACAAGCTCCTCCGATTGCAATAGCGCACACGGTCGCGCAGAAGATGAGCTGAAACTCTGAGAAGAGAATCTCAGGAATCGAGCCAACCGGTTCAGCGAGGACGCCGATATGAAATACTTTGCTGAAGCCCCCAAAGAAGCCATTGCCTTCACCGTAAGCGAGCGAATATCCCAGCATCCACCATTGGATCGAGCAGACGGCGACCGCCAAAAGGCCTGGGTAGAACGAAGCAATGCTATTGAAACGAGTGGAGTAGCCAGAGTAGGCGAGCCCGACAGCCGGGATAATAAGCCAGCAGAAGACAGAGCAGACAAGAATGAATAGCGTATCGATTTTGTCGCAGGCTTCCCAAGCTGTTTGGACAGACATGGTGCCTGTTGTACTGGCGGTCCCTGGTGCTTGCTGTTGAGTAAACAAGAGGGGTATCTTAAATATCGTAATAGTCCATAGCTGCTAGGTACTAGTGATTTGTATCGGGGTCTGGTGCTGACACCATGAGAACGAATCAAGCCTGTAGAGCTTATCAGCTCAGTAGTCATGGCGGATATAATTGGTTGGGATGCACTATCATGTCGATCGCCGAGCCCAGCTCCTGCAAGACGATGCTCGGATAGGGAAGTGCAACCAGCTGCAATTTCGATGCAGCACGGCGGGGTGAGACTAGTAGTTAGTCCGCCGGAGATGCAGGCCGACCTAAGGGATTTGATCACAGCGATGTTTGTAGCAGAACAGTCTTTGGCAGGATGTAGATTGCCTTTATGCAATCTTGTGAATAGTAATTTGCAGGTCTCAGGGAGACGAGAGTTGAGAAATTGTATCTAGCTGATGGGTGTTGGCGTCAGGCAGCCATACTCATTGCTTTTAGCCTTTGTACACATGCGTCTGGAGCTCATTGTGATGGATCATAGGAAACCCGCATCAAGCGACGCGCTCTTAGGCATGTTTTGGTCTGCAATTCCATGGAGCGATGTCGAGTTTGTCTGTGCAGCACCATTGCTTCGTTGGCCGTCATCACGCCTCCAAAGTAGCAGCAGTCGAGTTTAGTATGTCAGGATCAGTATCATCGCTCGATGGGTGCTATTAGCACTTGTCCATTAAGTGGCTAGAAATCACGACTGAACAGCATGGTGGTTCAAGGAGTCCAAGATGAAATCGAGAAGAAAAGAAGAGCGCGAACGAGAACCCCCACAATCGGAAAAGAGTATCTATCCCAATGGAGCAACTCGGGATACGATCCGGGGTAAACCGGGACCCTCCCCAGCCACATTGGTGACCGTGCCACAAGCACTCAGCCACACCCGTGACCAACCAACTGATACGTGGCCAGGACCTCGGAGAGTAGATAATCCGCCCCTTTCGAGTCCGACCGAGCGACGCCATTATTCGCCGACCACCAAAAGAGCACAGCTGGCCCATTCGCGTTCATCCATCCATCCCCATTTCACCTCGCCTCCATTGACACCTCAGCATCCATTCCTTCGCTTCGTCAAAATGTCCGACCAGGTGCAAGAGCTCCTCAACGTCCCTCGGGAGTTCCTCAGGGATGGCGTGCAGTTTGTCCACCGCAGTCAGAAGCGTGAGTTGGCCCGTTGCTCGTGCAGCACTCCTCTGGATTCAAGCTAATAAGTTTTGCTATATAGCCGACAAGCGCGAGTTCATCAAGATCAGCCAGGCTGTCGGTACTGGTTTTCTGATCATGGGATTCATCGGTTACATTGTCAAGCTGAGTATGTTGCTCTTTGGGAGCTGGATTAACCCCCTGCTAGATCGGTAAACTGACTGAATGTAGTCCACATCCCCGTTAACAACGTCCTCGTCGGTGGCGCGTAAACGAACACTCCATCATCCATTCTATCCGGTGTCAAGCGAAGAAAGAATCATAAGGTCATCATATCCTTATTGGCGAATCGCGAGCTAGGGTGCGCATGCGGATGCGATCTTCAAACGAGCGTGTAACATTATACCCGCCTGATGGATGAGCAGACTGCCGATGCAGTCTCGCTCGACGCGGAGACCAGTCATTGGAAACTGGCATATGTGCATAATTAGTCTGGGCAGGCGTTTAGGGTGTGCTGTTAATATATCCATTGAATTATGGCAAGCTGCTATTAAACCACAGAAATCATAACCTATAACGAATCTATACCCAGTATCTGTGTCCTCACTACCATTGACTCGGAATCAATAATCATATTTCCAAAGCTTCAAACACCTAACTGAGTAAATCATGGCGCACCCCAACATTATCCCAACCCCCAGTCCTAAAATATATACCATCCAATGATCAGCACTCAACTCAAACCAACTTAAACATGATGTCACCACTCCAGCCATCACCCTCTACATACAAACCAACTGTACATCCATAATCCAATTGCAATCCCCTTAGTACTAGACAACTCCCTACACTACAGCATCTACCAGCACCACCACCAATTTACTCCGAGGCCCCCACACCCGACTGCCGATATCCGTTCCCATTAGTATACTTCTTCTCCACCGGAATACTCCACGCACACCACAACCACGTTCACATACATATAACAGTCCTCCTCACCCAATTTATACCTCTAATTCCACATCGACACCCTCAACCCTCTCTTTCTCAAACCAACCCCCCCAATTGACCTCCACCGAAAACAAGAAAGAGAAAAATGGAGCCCATCTCCCCACCCCCAACCCTAACCCACCTCTTCACACTCCGGTGCGCCGTCGACCCACCCCTCGAAATCGGCACGGGACCGTACGGCCGTCGCCGCTGCGTGCCCATCAAGTCTGGTACCGTGAGGGGGAAGTATCTCGTGGGAGAGGTTGTTCCGGGTGGAGCGGATTTTATGTATGCCCATTCCCAGTTCATACCCCATACCTCACTGGGTGATTGAGTAGTTGCATTAGGATCGAAGACTAATTGTGAGGGGTAGGCTAGTCGAAGAGAACCAGACGACGCATGTGAATACGAATTATGTGATTAAGAGTGAGGATGGGGCGTATATTTATGTGAGGTCAGTGTTCTCATCATTCCTATCTAAATGAGGTTTTTAAATTGAAGCCATGGGGATGACATATGCTAATGTTGATGAATGTGTAGGACGGAAGGAACCCGGTCCGGTCCCCCCGAAGTGCTAAAAGCGTTGATGGAAGGCGATGGTGTCGATCCGGCGAGTTACTGGTTCCATCTGCATATCAAACTGGAGACAGGACATGAGAAGTACCGGTGGATGTCAAACCGGGTGATTGTGGGACGGGCGACGAGGGCGAAGGGGGAGGTTGCGTATGATGCGTATTTCTTGGAGAATTTGTCATAAATCTAGGACAATTGTGGAATAATGTATATAGTTCTTACATATTAAAGTATCTGGTGTACAAGGTATCATATATATGGTATCACTGCAAACGGATCTGGTGGTTGCGCAGCAATTCCGCCAAATTCGCATACTCCCCTGCGCTCGCATCCTGGCGAGCAAGTACCTCCTCTGCGAGTTGAAAGGCCCATAGGTGTTCTGAGTGAAATGATCGCAGCTCGTAGAGCCGCTCACGTAGCCACTCGCGTTGCGCTGGGTCGTCGGTTTCGACAATGGCCATTAGGAGTGGCCAGTGTAGTCGCCGTAATAGCCGCGGGTCTGCGGCGTATTGTTTGTGGGCGTTGTCGATGATGTTGTTGAGGGCTTGGCGATGCAGTGCGGCTGGTGGGCGGGCTGTATCGAAGAGACGACGGTGGAAGAGGATCAGGGCGTAGAAGTTGTTCACGGCCATGTAGATGGTGTTGAGCGTGCGGCGCGTGGAGCCTGGGCTGGCGAGTTTGGCGGTCAAAAGAAGGTCGGAATATTTCTGTACTGGTTAACATGGAGATTACGATAATACCAGAGGTTGACATACATCGCGAACCGTCATCATCTCGGCGAACAGTGCGTCGCCAGACTCGGTGTGTTTCTCGTCCAAGCATTTCCAGAGCTTATGCCATAATGTGTATCCAACGTGTACAAACTCCAGCCCCCGGTAGTTCTCCATGTCGTCCGATACCTCCTGGTCCGGGTATTGCTTCCCCCAGAAACATCGACTCCAGAGCCGTGCGCAGCGATACAGATGGTCCGGGTGAAGAGATTCATTGCCGGAGTTAAGCACGTAGTCGTAGAGCGACTCTGTAGTTCCGATCGACCGACGATTGACATCGATGTATCTGATCGATTAGCGACGCCTACTAAAGCAGGAAGTATACTTACAGTATCCATAGCAAGAATTGATCCGAGATGAATGAAGCCCTAGATACCGTATCACTGGGTTGGTCCGCCTCCATTGCCAGCAACACCTCGTTGACATCGCGCACATGGAACAATTCCGGATGTGTCTCCAGCAAAGACCGCACTCCCTGCAGATGGAGGTGGAGATGACGCACGCAATGACCGAATTGCCATTCGTATGCGACCATGAGGAACATGGTTGCGAAAATCATCTCAAGCTCCGCAAACGACACCTGAGGTTTAGGGGTTTCGAGTAATTGCCGGAACTCCTTGACGGCCATGCCGTAGTGGTACCGGCCATGATCCTCAGCGGTCGGACGACCTGGTGACCGGACAACCAGGCCATTCCGATGCATATCGCTTGCAGACAAAGCCAAGATCATGCGCATGATGACCTTGCTGGTAGCCGCGGGCCCCTCATACAGATAGCGGAAGCTGCTCCATTGCCAGTTCTTCATGTAATAGAACACCACGGACGAGGTAGGGAAGTACTGAAAGTATTTCTGATCATGCTCCGACAAGACGAGCGAATTGGTGCAGGGCAGAGCACCTGTACCAGGCAAGGGCCGGTAGAGTGGCGATGGTTGCGCATAGGGCGGAAACGGCCATCCCGTGGGGAAACTGACATCTGGGGAAACCGGGGTCAAATCCGGGGCTGGTCCGGGGGACTGCCGATGCCAGAGGGCAGCTAGAGTGTTGGCATAATGAGGATGAAGAATGCTGTTGGTCACGGCAGCGCGAACAGGAGAGGGAGTGGTCGCAGATGGGGAGGAGCAAGTGGTGATGCCATCGCTGGTCGGCCAACGAGGTTGCGCGGGCTGCAGATGCCGAACCGGGGTATTGGCCTTGCCGCGCTTAACGGGGATCCCCCATTCACAGTTCAGTCGTAGATTGAAGCAGCGTTTGCAGACTGGACGCTCCTCCCCGCATTTTACTTTACGACGGCGGCAGGTGCTGCAGCCTGTAAGATGCGAGTCAGTCAGTCAGTCAGTCAACAATTGTCCGTCCGCTGGGATCTTTTTTTCCCGAGCTTTCCGCCGACTCCGGGGAACTCGGGCAAGGGTTGGCATACCATTCTTCGAGCGAGGCGCGTTCCGACCCGACATGGAATGAATGGCCCACTCGTGAAGGAATCGGATCAGCCGGCAGGCATTAGTAAAAAGCAGAAGAAGACAGCCGATATCACGAATTTAAGCGAGGGGCAGTGGGTGATGCAGCGGGAAAGTTCATCGGGAAAATGAAATTCGGAGGGACACAAAATTGACTGGAAGCGAAATGACATTCCAGGCGCTTAGTCAGCGGCAGGACAGCTGGGGACTGACTCGTACAGGGCTGGCTGGGGGGCAGAAAGTAGCTGAAGATGGTAGCAAGTATCTAGAAAGTGTGCTTCTCTGAAAGGTGAATTTCTACAGACTTGGAGAGGGGTCTGATCTCAGTTTGGAGTAGTTTTGCCCCGTCGCAGAGCTAACGTCCACATCCTGGTCTTAGTGACGCCCACTAAGGAGTCACCGTGGTTTGAGCATAGCTACTAGTAGCTGGCGCATCGCCAGGGTCAAGGTCATCAATCGTGCGTTCGTGATCTGGGCTGAGAAAGATTATACTTCTATCGGGTATACAAACAAAGTGACAGACGCCATGTTTCACCTTCTCCGAGTAATATCGCCGAGGATATACCGAGAAACATCCTGATGGCTGTCTGTAAGACATCAAGCATGAGTGTGGCTCTGAGCAGATACTTGAAAGACAAGATGGTGCTGTGATGCCGAGAATGTCGTAGAGACAGTGTATCCTGCCTTACTCCTGAATACACTCCTTCCACTGCTTCTGCGCAATCCCGAACAACTCATCGCTCATCACCATCTCCCACCCAATTAGCGCTAGTGACTTGCCTACAATCACCGCCTCTTGGTGAGCGTAATCGGTTCCAGCCGCTGCAGCAAATTTAGGATGATGGGGGAAGGAGCCTGGTTCATCCGTGATACCAAACATGGTGTGTAGTGTCGGGACAAGGTAGCTCACATTGCCTAGAGATGTCAGTAAGGGATCCTGACAACAAGCATGAACACCTACCGATATCCGATGATCCTGTCATGACCTTCTCAAGACTCGCAATGACATTCCGGTCGTACTTGGACATGTGCGCTTTATACCGGTCGCACAGTGTGTCGTTGATCTTGATGTCGGTATACAACTCGTTCCTGGTCCGGTTAGCTCACCTTCTGTTCGTCCAGTTGATGAAAGACTTACTCAATAATCTTGGCCTCACAACCTGTAGCCAATGCACCTGCCTCAATGCAGTTCCGAACTTTGACCATAAGTTGGTTCAACCCTTTCAATGTCGGGCTGCGAACCTGCCAGTACGCTTTAGTGTACGAGGGAATTATGTTGGCCACTGTGGGTGTATCCAGGAAAGCACAGTGTATGCGCTCATCTGGGCGGAGTTGCTGGCGCAGTACGGCCACGTTGTTGTACGAGGTCACCAAGGCGTCGAGGGCATTGATTCCTTCCCAAGGGTTACCGCCCGCATGGGCACTCCGACCTGTGAACTCGCAGTGTATCTCTTTCCGAGCGTTCATTCGCACACCACCGACGCTGTCCGCTACAACGCCAGGGAATAGTTCTTTGGGTCCTGCGTGACTGAGAAGGTCAGTATGCCAAAAGGACAAGTCTACCCAATAGATACGATAAGCCGCATAAAAGAATGGTCAATACGTACGCCATCAATGACACATCTACACCCTTGTATGCACCCAAGTCAATCAATTTGGCCTTGCCACCGCCATTCTCCTCTGCTGGAGTACCCAGAAGCTGAGTGCGACCGGGAATACCAAATTGTTTCAGGACAGTCGATAGTGCTAGGAAGGCGGCCATACTGCTGGTAGTGATGAGATTATGACCACAGGCGTGGCCGATGTCAGGCAGTGCATCATATTCGGCATTGAAGTTGATTAGGCGTCCACCGGATCCGCTGAGTGCCTCAAAGGAGGTGTCCAGTCCATATGCGTGACGGGTTACGGTGAAGCCTTGCTTCTCGAGAAAGTCGCAGATAGTGTCATGGGCGCGATGCTCTTGGTAGGCTGTTTCTGGATTACACCAGATCTGTGGTAGAGTCGATGATCAGAATCATTCCAAGGGAAAGAGAGTTAGGTGCCTACCTCTCGGTTGAGCTCTCGTAGCGATGTTTTCGCCGACTCCAAGGCTGCATCAATTGCCACCTTCACTTCGTCGATCGTTGGCACGGTTTGGGTAATGGTCTGTGTTGCAGTCATTGTGGCGATGGTCTGTCAATCTTGCTCTCAGCTGGTTGAAATGCAGGGAAGAGCTCCCGACATCGTCTGCCGGGGCGTCATATATGCCCTTCCCTCTCCCATCCTCGCCCTGCTATCGCGGCAAGGGATAAGCGTGGAGAACCTCGGCCGACGAGATGGGCAAATCCCGGACATTCAGGTGAAACCCATGATAGGATGACTCGGGTAACCATTACAAACAAGTGTCACTTGCAACGATGACTCCATCTGCACCCCGCATCGCGGAAGATTGTCGTTATCAAATCCGCCCCGACATCCACGGGAAACCCAGCGCATAAGCCATTAATAATATCTGAACTATCGAGCTATCGCGCGCTATCAGACTTATCAGGGCCATTAGCTCGGCAGATAACAGTGGATCGAGGTATTAAATGAGCCCTTCGTCCCTGACCAACACGAGGCGTTTCTCCGCACGATCAATTCTGTGGGGGAGGCGCAGTCGCGAGTTTCCCGGAAGATGGACCCAGCATTGAGTTCTCGAACCAGTGGAAACCCAAGGATAAGCGTGGTGGAGAGTTGCCGGTTCAGCTGCCGGCATTGCGATGAACGATAACCTGCTTGTCATCTTGCCGACCGACGCTTCGTATTGGCGCATCTGCCGACGGCGTTGCTTGGATCTGCTGCCATATCGCAACCCCGGATTCTAACCTGCTTGAGTCACCGCACGGATATCGTTTTCCTCTTTCACGACCAACATGGCTTCATCAATTTCATTGGGCCATTCATCGTCTACCGAATGTAAACAGATACCAGATAGGGAAAGTCAATCACGGGTATTTGACTCACGGCCAAGTCCCCGACCTCGCCACCATCGTGATGAGCACAGACAGGGCATCAGAGCGGTATCGGCTTGTCAAGTTACCCCGGTGGAGGTGCGTGTATCAGTCGCTGATCGCGGAAGTTGTGCGCTTGATTCCGTGGGTGCTGTTGGTTAAGGTTTGCTCACTGGTTATCTTATAACCGATGGGCCTCATCTGTACCGGTAGTAGTATAAACAGTAAACCAATTCCGTGCCATCATGCCGTGGCAGCTCTCACGAAACCAAACCATCATGGAGAAGCAACATACAGACCCCCCTCCCGGGGTGACCCCCGAATTAGACGATCTAAAACTGAAGGAAGAAGCAACCCTGGCCCGGGATGTCGGTCTGGGACAAGTCTTGGAGGTGGAAGCCACCCCAGAGCAGGAACGAAAGGTTCTGCGAAAGCTGGACATAATGTATGTGTAATTGTATAGTATTGAATGTTCTTTTCTCACTGCTCGAACAAGATTGATTCCTCTGATGGGAGTCTGCTACATGATGCAATACATGGACAAGCTGGCTTTGAGTCAAGCTACCCTGTTCAATCTCCGGCAGGATCTGGTATGTTGCCACTTATAGTCAACATCATGCCTATACTAACTTTGAACAGAACCTCAAGGGACAAGAATATACCTGGACATCTGCAGTCTTCTATTTCGGGTATTTTGCCTGGAGCTGGCCCAGCTCGTATCTCATCGTCCGTCTGCCAATTGGCAAATACATTAGTGCCTCAGTGTTTGTGCATCCCCTAATCCTACCCCATAATACCACTAATACCAAATAGATTAATATGGGGAGGCATCCTAATGTGCCACGCCGCAGCAAAGAACTTCGGGGGCTTGATGGCTGCCCGATTCTTCCTAGGAGTGGGTGAAGCCGCCATTGCCCCGGGATTCTCCCTCATCACAGGCATGTTCTACAAGCGTGAGGAACAGCCAGCACGGTAAGCCTTTCCCATAACCAGAATAATTACTATAGATATTCAAACTAACAACCAACAAGGCAATCGGCCTGGTTCCTCGGAAACTGCATCTCCACCGTCATCGGCGGTGTCGTAGCCTACGGAATTGGCAGCATCAAAACCGACGCCGTATCTAGCTGGCAACTCCTTTTCCTCGTCCTCGGCGCCATTACAGCATTCATCTCCTTCTTTCTCATCTTCCTTCTCCCCGACTCCCCAAAGAAAGCCATCTTCCTCACCAAACCCGAGCGCGCCATCGCCATGCACCGCACCCTCGCCAACAAAACCGGTGTCGCGGACGAGGGATCATTCAGATGGGACCAAGCCTGGCAGGCACTCCGCGACCCTCAAACCTGGTTCTTGGTTTTGTACACCTTCTCCGTGAACCTCTGCAACGGCGGAATCACAAGCGTAATCCTCCTCTCCCCCCTACTACACGTACCAACCCTCATCGAACTAACAAAAACCAACCAGTTCTCCTCCATAATCATCAACGGCTTCGGCTTCTCCCAAATCCGCTCCCTCCTCATGCAAATGCCTCTCGGCGGCGCCCAAGTCGTCTTCCTCATCCTCACCGCCGGCATCGCAACCTTCGTCCCACACACCCGAATCCTCATGATGGTCTTCAACACCCTCACCTCCCTGATCGGCATGATACTCGTCTGGAAGCTCGACGAAGATAACCGTCGAGGCAGACTCACGGGACTGACCCTGGGTGCTGTCTTCGCTGTCAATATTCCCCTCTCATTGAGCATCATCAGTTCGAATGTCGCCGGGTTCACAAAGAGAAGTACTACCAGCGCATTGTTATTTGTTGCATACTGTGTGGGGAATATTGTCGGGCCGCAGTTCTTTTATACCTCCGAGGAGCCTTATTATCCGGTACGTTTGATTCCACTTGTTTATAGAGGGGCGGTATGCTAATGATGGCGATGTGTAGACGGGTATGAAGGCGGCTACTTCGGGACTGGCGTTGGGGGCATTCTTTCTGGTGTGTTTGCTGGTGTATTATATCTGGGAGAATAAGAGGAGGGATAGACTGTATGGAGTTCCGGGCCAGATGACGGAAAGTCAGGAGTTGGCGTTGGGGTTGTCGAGTAAGACGGATTTGGAGATTGAGGATTTTAGATATGTTGTGTAGGTTTTATGATAGAACCAGTACATTTCAAGATTTCAAGAAGTCTGTTTACTGCTAGCGGGTAGATGAATAGAGTGGGTTGGAAACAGAGGTAAACTGTGAAAGTATCAATGGAAAGAAATGCACGCTAAATATGGTAGAGAGAAAGGGGGTTTGATGGGTCAATTGACTTATATCCAGAAGTGGGAGGGTACATAGTATTCAATGTAAATTATTGGTCTATCAGAAGAAAAAGAAAACAACGGCTTGCTCGACAAACAACAGAAGGCCCATTAATCGATGAACAAAAGGTATCAATTGTCATGCCGCGGGTCCCAAAACGGATAGTCATCAGAGAGAATTGGTACATTCCATTTGATGAGTCTCTCGTCGTCCCACAAAGCGTATTGCCACGGACGGTGCTTATTAGTAGCCCCAAACTCATACATGTCATAAAAGACCTGGGCGAAATTGAGATCGTCTCGAAGCCATATCCTCTCCCATGCTAGGTTAGGCCGCTCAAAAGGCGGTAATGATTTCAGGAATTTTCGAAGTCCATTCCTGTCCGTGCCGAAGTTGAATTTGTCTGCAGGGTAGAACAGATCCATTTGATCATTGTCGGTTGGTCTGGGCCAGATTCCAAAGTCATAGAAATATAACCTAAATGATCGCACGTTGACGAGGACCAGGTTCCGGCGAGCGAGGAATTGTTTTTCCCGCAGGATTTTGCATAGGAGTGAGGGCCCTTTCGAGGCCAGGCTCTCTCTCTTGTCCATTGGGCTTTCGAAAACATCACAGTCCGTGTACCAGCAACCAGGTGGGGGTCGTTGATCTTCTGGCAGCTCGTCGAAGAACATGCAACCTGTCTGTACCAGGCTGTCGGATACTTCGCGGAGTATCAATTCGTATCGGTAACAGCAGTGTTCCCATAGACAGCTGAATTCTTCTACTTCCCAGGGACTCATATTGCCAAAGAACAGACGCCACATCTCGCCGCCAGTGAATACATCTTGCTCCTCTTGCCAATCATTGTCCTCCGAGGTGTGCTCCGCATCCACAGTACGTTCGATTGAACCGAAGATATTTCCGTAGATTTGCAACCGATAGAAGGCACGGATGATGCGTCGTTTCTCGGTCTCTGTTAAGACCAGAGGTATGATGTCGCTCTCCCACCTGGTCTCATCCATCCATACCGGTCGCCTAATGGTTCTGCAGAAATCCTCTAAGAATAATAGGGCTTGGTTATGTAAAAGCAGCAACTGCACTGTCTCCTGGGTATTTGTTGGTTCATCTAGAAGCTGCGCAGGTGGAGTTTCCGGCCGAGGGGTCTTGTAGCTGTAATTTCGGCTTTCAAGAAGTGCGATGATTTTTTCTTTGTTGGATTGCTCGGAAGCGTACAAGCCTTTGGTACGGATGGCGGCTATTGCATCGGTCATGTCCACCAAGCCAGCATGGTGCTTCTGTAGAAGGCTCCGAAGAAGGTCTTTTTTCACTAGTTCAAAGACCTCATAGTACACAGGAGATGCACGTAATAGCGACCACAGCGAACCGGGGTCAGGTATGGTGAATAGGATGGAAATCCGCAATTCCACCGGGATGCCTTCCAAGGTGGGCACAGCCTGATCTGAAGTTAGCACGTGCACCGTCAAGAATGGTAATATACACTAACCATGTTCGGCAATATATATTATTTGAGATCTTGTTTCTTTCAGACCAAAGTTGATGGTAAGGTGGTGGTGAGGATGGCGTGAAAGGTGATAATGAAAATGTAAGAGAAAGCAAGTTGAGGGTGAGGGGAAGAGAAAACGAAGATGATCCCGCCGCATCTTTGAGCTGATGCGATTGTCCATCGCCAATTAGTCGCCGACTGGAATTAAGCGCCTTATGTAATACATTCAACTCCATTTTTAGGGCTAGACTTCTTGAATTGTGCCAATGAACAACCTTTGCTTCATCGAACTAAATTCGGCCTCGCCTTATGCAGCGGCTGACGTACAGAGCTGGTGTCAGAATGCATCGGCGCTTCCAGAGTGAACGGCTCCCCGCCTATCTTTCACTTGCTTTGCCGCCAGGAATACAACCATGTGTGTGTCACTGGTTCTGAGCACCTTTGACTTTGAGGATAGCCTTGTGGTGAGCGCTTTATGTGAGACTTATGCGCTGCTGCTGCATGCACGCACTTCCTGTCATAAATCACATCAAGCCACCACATAGGGAAAGTTGTCACCGATGCCAATCAACTCCACGCCCTAAAACTCGGTGAAACAAAAAATGTTTCTCGCCCTTGGTTAAGCGCGCGCATTCAATATAGGACTAAAGCGCAGGGACTGAGGATGGTATTCTATTTTCAAAATGATCCTCTGAATATGGCTCTACAAGAGAGTTATAAACCAGCTTCGCCGTCTGCCTCTCCCCGTGTTCTACAAGACATCATTCAAATCGATCAAAGCAATCTCCTCAGTGATTGCAAACTTATATACAATATTTCCTTTTCTTCTACTATCTTTATACAATTTACGAACTTCTTCTATAATTTCTTGATACTTTCATAATAGTACATATACTTTCCTTATTTCAGTATTCTATATACTACCTGAAATCTTCATTGCATCCTGCGTCTGCCTTGATACAATCCACGGGCTTCCACTTTTCTTCGCTGATTTATCTGGCTGATACCATCTTCAACAAACGAAAATGAGTCAACACGGATGGGATCCTAAGAAGACAGTCATCTCCGGGAGAAGAGGCTCGGACGCCAACTACGATATCCGCACTCCGGCAAGCTCCCATGTCAATGTTCGACCGAGTCCAAGCTATTACGGCCGCAATTTCCAGAACTCTGCACAGGGACGCTCGTCAAGCTTCGCCTACGGCGACATCAAGGAGCCAAAATTGCCGGATCCATGGGTCAAGGTACCACAGCCATACCCGGAGCGTGTGGAAAAGGAGTACCTTGCCTACAAGGATGCCGGAAAACATATGACGGCAGTCAGACGGGAGTACAACGCCACTGGTGCGATGGGTGTTTCTGGTAACCAGGGCCCCGCCATGCAGATTCTGAGGCAGGGTGAGCGACTGGCCACTGACATGATAGCCGCTGCCAATACGTGAGTCAGAACAGTGCTTATTGTGGATTTATCGGGAACTTGCTAAAAGAAAAATGTAAACAGAGTGGCCGCATCTCACAGTGGCTTTGACCACAAGTATCCAACTGCCTATGAGAACCTAGAAAAGAAAGGCTCACATTATGATGAGGCCGTAAAGAACCTCAAAACTGCGAGAAACTACCGCAATCAGAGAGAGGTGCTCCGTGGTAAGATCAATGCTCCACCGCGTCCCTAACTGTCGGCTCGAAGGCGTCTCTTCGGAGCGCTGCAGTAAGGAACTTATAAAGCTGGGCAAAGAAAAGGGGGGTAATGTGGCGGCTATGTTTTGTCCTCCCCAGGTTGTTGAGGCCACGGTCATTCATCGCTGGTCTTTGAGTTACTCATGTTTTCCTGCATGCTCGGTTATGTTTTGAACTATTCTTATGTGTCATTGCTTTGTCAAATTCCCGTGCTTTCTTGCGTTCTTGTTGGGTGTAATCTATGTTTTAGTTTGGCACAATTTGAATCGTAACGCCTGTCGCTCCTAGTAGAGTCCCTAGAAATGCAATAGCTTGACTTCTTATATTGTAGCTCTTTTTTGCCTCTAAGTTCACATTTGTGTATCAACCCAGCCCTCTCAAAGCTCATGAAGCAGGCCCAATCTCTTCTCGATCTGGTAGGTCCTACGTATGTCTATTCATCGCAACTGTTCCTACATCATGTTTTTGCACAATGATCATATGCAATCATTATTAGTGCCTGCACAGATATCTTTAGCATATTATACAGTCCACAATAGATTAAATATCCGGATAATATTCCAGTGTCCAGTAGACAGATTAAAATGGAAAATGCCGTGTAAGATGCGTGATCTTATGAGCCTTGTGAGCTATTATTGTGAATTAACCAGGAAGGTTCCGATCTGTTGGGTTTCCTGACGGCTTTTTCCTACGCTCGACCGGAAGCTTCCTACGGCGATCGGGTGGTCAAGAACGCGGCCACACTCTTTAAAAAGGCCTTGTTTTCCGGTTGTGAGCAGGAACTATCATCAACCCATTCATTCATTTATAACGAACTCCAAAACAGTCTAAACACATTAGTTCTCACGGTTTCTATTCAACGACCGGCCAATGAAGCACTTTAGTCAGCTATAGAGCAACTGCTTCGCAATGAATTCATTCAGTGAACGCAAATGTGCTTTTAGCTCAAACAGATTCATACTTCATGGAGGATTCACTTTGGTAGGTGACATACCTCATCTCTTTGTCTACTTCCCCCTTTCCCCTTTACTGTTCCACTACAATTCAACCTTCTTGTGCCTAGCTGGAAATGAATGTGTGTTTTTTGGTCATTCATCGACACAAGCAGTTATGAATCGCGAAGTTACATTTCCTTATTCCCCGTTCACTAATATTGATTATTTCAGCCCAGGAAACATATAATTAATCATTCCATCTCCCCGTGAACTGCTTTCCTCTCTCTACCCCAGTGCCTCAGTCCGCAACTATACAATATGAACCATCAGTACCGGTGATACCTTGTCTATCGCAGCGTACTTTGCATCGGTAAGTGATTCAATTAAGCATGATAGCATATGATGATCTCAAGACTAACTGCCAGGTCAGATATATATATACTTGAACAAGATCCCACAACTGAACATTCTCTACGGGGGTTTCGGGCCCGAAAGGTCATTACACAGAGCTATATACAAGTGATCAGAAAGGGGTAATTCCTCTGCGCCAGATATAGCTTCAACTAAAGAGATATCCCTTGGATCATCAATCAAATCATAATCCGGGTATTTCTATCGAGCCATGAAAGCTTAGGGATGATGTCCTCGGAGGTTGTGTATCGGCACAGCACGACTGCGCTGCTATTGAGGATACAACTTCCAGGAAATAGAGCTGAGGCTCTCTTTAAGCTTCGCATATAGCGACACCAAAGAGCCCGAGCTACCCTAACCGTGGGCAAAGTGCCCACAGCCGTATACCCAACAAGTCAAGCAAGACTATAACTTGTATAAGGCTGTGTGCCGGGATTTTGCTGCCGTGAGAGTGAGCTTCAAACGGGCAAGTAGTGCCCTATCTCGTGCTAAGGGCGGAAAACTTCCCTCGGTTGGGGAAATGAAGAAATGCGAGGAACTGGCCACAGGCAATGGTGGCCGCTAATAGGTAGGCCGATATAACTGCAATTCACAGAGCTTTGAATTTGCTAAAGTTTTCCGGTAAGGTTATAGAGCTGGGGCTGCGAGGAGTGGTTGCCTCCACAAATACCCCACTGCCTATGAGGGCCCCAAAGCCACCATTGACCATGAAAATGTGGCAATAGAGCAGATAAGATCTGCAAGGAAGTTGAGGAAAAACGGGGAAGGGATACGGCGAAGTATTTCACATGCATCGAGAGAGGCAAGTTGGGGACAGAGTTAAGATTGGCTATATTTATTATTCCAATCATCATGATAGGAGGACCCTGGCTTTCGTCATGTGGAAATATTTAAGCGACATTACATCAAGGTCATTCCACTGAGCCCAACTGTGCCTCCAATGTGTCAGAAGGAGGGGGAACAGCTGGCTGGCAATGTAATAGTCACTGCTAATGGGTAAGCCCGAACTAGACTTATGTTGGGTCTTTGGCAGCTACTGAAAAGAGTCTATCTAGCATCGTGGCTACCCGCAGTGGGTTTGATCATTAGTATCCCACTGCATATGACAACCGGGAAAGTAAAGGACGACATGAAGTCGCGACCCGAGAAGGGCTTAGTACCGGAATGGATTTCAGAAACAAAATAGGGATAAAATTCACGATAAGACACAATTTCTTCACAAATTGCTAGTTATCAACGCAACGAATGCACCTCTCGACGTGTGGATGATCAGAGGAACATGAGAATTCAAGGAAATGGCAACGGATGGTGTATGCGGTGACTCTATTGAGCTTGCTCCATGTTCCTGAATCTTCATCATTGACGTCTTTTCATATCCTACTGACGCATTGCTGGTGGTGTCCTTCATCTTGATATGGACTCTTTGAATTTAACGACCCCATCTTCTGAGAGAGGGTGAGGAGACCGAGATGATACATTTGCTTCGAATTTGTGGATTATTGCAACATTGGGAAAGCTTCCTTGAAGCGGTACCATTCAAGTCCCATTTGGACGGGATCCTCCCAATAGAGCGTGACCTTGGTGGATTCGAGCTCATATGGTACTATGTGCAGCTCATTCGCTGGGGACCGAGCGCGCTCGATATTGAAGATGATATAAACAATCTCAATTCTCTGAATCTTGAGACCGGAGGCATAACTCGTACATCCTTGTCTTCTCTCCAGGCATCTTGATTGTCAGACTTGTTATCTTCATGGTACAAATCTACACATCATAGATTCGAATGCATTCTTTTTCAGTACATTTGCTGGCTATTTCGATGTTATTTCGGTCATAGATCCACAAGAAAATGTTGTGCAGGTAGAAGCAGGAACGTCGCAGAAGAACATGTCCTGGTGAACGAGTGCTTGAGGGGAGTTAGACCAAATTTGGGAACACGAGATGTACTTTGAATACAGTTACTGGAAAAGAAGCTTTTTGTTTATCTTGATGAGGTCTGTGGTGTGGTACTAGCGGAATGCATTGGAGTCCTGACCCACCGGCGGTGATATGGTTATTACTTCTCACAATTGGAATGGATCCGTCTGTAGTGGCTTATTCTGGAATAGTAAACATAGTAGATTAGTTTGGGCGCTATAGAATGCTTCCAGTCATTGAACTCAGCGAGCAGATTTATAGATGACGGACTGGATCTTCTTCATATGTGTTACTAGTATATCCCCCAAAGCTTGTCAGAGTCTTGAGACTCCCAGCCAAATGTCGGGTGACTAAGCGAAACGTAAAGTGACAAGACATGAGACACTGTATGTGTAGCGCAGCTACTTCCCAGCCACCGGCAACCTGGTCCAGGCAGTGGTGCGCTCATGCCTCGCTCCTTCCTACACTGTCATCTTCACAACTGCAGCCAGCCTCTTCGCCACCGGATGCCGTTCCTGATCTCAAGATGCCGCAAGCACTGCAAAAGGCTCACCTGTCTCTACAATTATTCTGCACACAATTTCTTCTTGAAATCATTTGTATCATTCTGTCAACCCTAGATGCTGCTCAAAGCAAGTCAAGCATTGGTGCTTTTGGCCACTATTCTCTCAACATTCTACGCTCATTTTGCCAATGGCTATCACATACCTAAGCCGGATATTCCGGGTTTGAAAATACTTTCTATTACTGCATTTCTACTTCAGGACTACCCAATTACGGGCGTGCAGGTGAATCCTATACAGTCGCAGAATGTGACTATCAGCTTCTGGAATGTCACCGTTACCTATACGCATCCGGGCTGGGATGACCTGATTCATGCGCACGTTTGGGTACCATTGTCTGGATGGAACAATCGGCTCCAGGCAGTTGGAGGAGGAGGGTGGGCAGGGCTTGTGGACTATGGCACATTAGCCCTGCCTGTCTATCAAGGATTTGCAGCTGCCGGGTCTGACATGGGCCACGACAGGATTCCTTGGTCGGCAAAATCATGGGCTCTCGAGGATGCCTCGGGCCACGTGAACTTCGCCCGACTGGCTGATTTCTTCTCAACCTGTCTCTATGAGCTGTCGCTTCTCGCCAAGTATATCATACTGGAGTTCTATGGAACGCTACCTGCTTACTCTTACTGGAACGGCTGCTCCACTGGTGGGCGGCAGGGATTGGAGATCGCCCAACGATGGCCCGATGCATTCGACGGCATATTGGCGGGGGCGCCAACCATAAATTGGGCGCAGTTCGTCCCTGCAAACTACTGGCCAACATTCGTCATGAACCAGCTTGGGGTCTATCCCTCCCCCTGCGTCATGGAGAAGATAACGGATGCAGCAGTCGCTTACTGCGATGGTCAGGACGGTGTTGTGGATGGAATCATTGCTCTGCCGTCGCTTTGCAACTTTAATCCCCTCACTCTCATAGGGATGGAGGTTTGGTGTGAATGTATCCCCAGTATAATTACTGCAGAAGTGGCATTACTTGCAGTGTCATACTGGGCAGGTCTGACTGCTAAAGACGGGACCCCTTTGTGGTACGGTTTCAATCAGGGTACGCCATGGAACTATACGATCTGTACTGCTACCGATGATATCGGGAATCACCGATGTCATTCTTTGCCCGATTACTTGAGCGTGGACTGGCTGCAATTTTTCGTTGCTCAAGATCCCGATATTGACTTGGTTGACATGGATCAAGCTGAGTTTGAGTCACTTTTCTATCAATCCATCACCGGATACAAAGCAATTACCGATGCTAATAATCCCGATCTCTACGACTTCAAGAATAGAGGGGGAAAGATTATCCACTGGCATGGCTTGGCCGATTGGCAAGTTCCTCCAAATGGCTCTGTGGACTACTACAGAAAGGTCCAACTGCGTGATCCATCAGTCCAGGATTTCTATCTCTATTTTGAGGCGCCAGGAGTTGAGCACTGTGGTAATGGAAAAGGACCAGCTCCAACTTGTTTGATGGAGTCATTGATGGCATGGGTTGAAGGAGGCTTAGCTCCTGATCATCTGCAGTCTGTTTCTGAGGAAGGTGGGATGTCAAGGATTCTCTGTCCCTATCCTGCTACTGCGCAGTATATAGGAGGAGACCCTACAATTGCTTCATCGTTTGTCTGTAAGTAGATTATTCAGCGCACGCGTTCTTTGATTGTATTTCACACTCTTTCGACTGTAAACTAGCATTACTAAAGCCCTTGTTAGTCTAATCTGAGTCTTACCTTGAATATACCGTGCTTCATTCTGGACTAGCTTCAGATATGGCTTATTCTCACTCAGGTTCTACATTCTTTTCACAGATTCAATCGGCTATGGCTTTCACCTATACTCGTAGGGCTCTCATGGCGCTAGAAAGATGATAATGTAAAACATATATACAATAATCCTGTACTGCTTCCCCCTCATGCCGAGTATACAGATTACCCGAAGCGGAAATCCACCTGACGTCATGATTAGTATTTCAGTTTCCTTCTAGACAACATCACATCTCCTCGAACTGCATTCTCTCTTCAATCACGAACAGATGACAACGTCAATCAGCCATGGCATCATCGTCTCCTCGAAAGAAAGTTGCCATCATTGGCGCCGGAGCAGCAGGCATGGTAAAGCCCTCCCCTCCCCTCCCAATCACGAACCCAACCCAACTCCAAGCTAACTACCAAAATCCACGCAGTCCTGCGCCTCCACCCTATCCCAACACCCAGACAAATTCGAAATCCACCTCTTCGACTCGGCCCCCCACGCTGGCGGCCAAGCGACCTCGATCCCCCTCCCGCCCAACCACGGCGCAACCTGGCTCAACGACGGCGTCCAAGGCGGCTCATCCATATTCCGCCACACATTCAACTTCTTCCGGCGCTACGGATACGAGCCTCAACCCGTACAACTCCAAGTATCCTTCGGCAAGGGTCCCGACAGCTTCTTCACCAACATGTTCCCTTCCCCCCTCGTGGACAGATACTCCGCCGAGATCGAGAAACTCGGCCGCGTGCTGAAGTGGATTAAGCGGTTGATGCCATTTCTTGGAATAATGCCTATCAAGATGGTACTTCGGCTGTTCAGGTTCAGTGCAGAGTTCGGAAGTAAGATGGTTCTTCCGCTCATTGCACTGTTCCTGGGCACGGGAAACCAGACGCCGAATGTGTCGAGTGTATTGCTGGAAAGGCTGTTTGATGATCCGCAGATGAGGTTGTGGAATTTTGATCCCGATATGTTGTTGCCGAATCGGCCGGAGATGTACACGTTTCCGGAGTTGGGGAGGTTTTATGGCGATTGGGTGGCGGATTTGGGGGAGAATAAGGGGGTGAGGGTGAGGTTGGGGACGGAGGTGGAGATATTGGGGAGGGATGGGAAGAGGGGGGTAGATTTGAGGGTTTGGGATAGGGGTGAGGGTGGGGAGAGAAGGTGGGAGGGGGTGATGCATGATGAGCAATTTGATGAGCTTGTGTTGTGTGTGCCGGCTGATGAGGCGAAGAAGTTGCTGGGTAGGCATGCGACGTGGAGGGAGAAGTATGTGCTCGGGGGTGTGAGGTTCTACGATGATGTTACGGTCACGCATAGTGATGCGGACTACTTCAATAGTATCTTCGAAACGAGATATAAGAGTGATTTGTGCGGGAAGGCGTCGAGCGAGGCGCGCAATGAGCAGATCTCGTTCGCGAAGCAGACACCGCGCTGTCGGAAGGACGGGTGGGAGGGGTTTGCGCCTATGTACTATACGCATTCGTATGAGCAGGATCCGCAGAAGATCGAGATGGGGTTCGATTGTTCGAACTATCAGCATCAGTTCCGGGAGGCGTTGGGGGAGGGAGCGCTGTCGTTGGAGCCAGATCGGCATGTGTATCAGACGATCTTTCTGAATAAACAGGAGTCGGATCTATGGACGTGGGAAAGCATTGACAATGACAAGATTATTGCGAAGAAATGGTGGCATCAGTTCGGACATAATTGGCAGCATTATATACGTGTGGTGCCGGGGATGATGTTCATTAATGGGAAGAATCGGACATTGTATGCGGGGAGTTGGACTATGGTGGTGAGTACTTAGTCTTTTCACGGTTGTGGGTGTGTGTTTCAGATACTGATGGCACGCAGAATATGCATGAGATAGCTTGTATATCGGGCATTGCGGCTGCGTATCGACTTGGGGCGGAATATGTGCCTTTTGATGATTTTGCGGAGGATTTCTTTGCTAAGTATTTGCTTGTGAGTCATGGAATGAGATATAAGAGGAGATAAGTGTGGAGTTCGGGGTACATGGGGCCTTCATTCGTCCGCTATCTTATATATACTCCTCCCTGCTTATGTAGGTAAACAAAGCATGGAGGGTTCAGGGTGGGCATTTTAGGACAATGGACATACCTAGCAAAACTCTATTAACCTGGTATGAACAGAGCAACTGCATCCATTTACTATTAGGGTAACTCACTGTGGGCTTATCATGCGCTAAAAGAAGCAAAAGGGGGTTTTCTATGCGCATGCTAGTAAATGGGAAAATGGTCAGAACGATGAAAACCTGCTGCTAGGGATAGAAATGATCATTTAGCATATATCAAATGAGATATGTCAAGGGGGTGAGACTCCCTACTGTGTCCCAGCTTGAGAGGAATGAAGATCTTAGAGAGATGGTACAACCCAGAACCTGTATGAGGCCCGAAGGAGGTTATTGGTAGAGGAAGTAGACATCAAACTCCTCTTTGTGGTAGCGGACATATCATCATCGTCCAATAACACCAACTGCAGCAGTTACACTATGCATATTCTCCTTGGAGTTCACCAGTGGACAGCTCATTCATTGTTCTGTCATCTTGCATCCCTTGCAGGGTTGTCAGAACTTGTCATCGGAGGACACTATAGAAGTGGGGGACTGCGTGCTAGGGGTGAGAGGAAAAGGAGCAGGAAAAGAGAAGAGACAGTAACCAAAGCTAACGAAAAACATTTGTTCTGTTGGGGCAATTGTATTTCTCTATCTCCCACGTACATTGTCATATTTGTGGCTGCTCCGGCATTCTGGAACTAAATCGATCAACAAAAAAAAAAAAAAAATTGGATGGCATGTGGCATACGGTAAAAACATACTTCGCAGAGTCCAACAGTCTCCTACAATTCTGCAGCCATCTCTGTGAATTGAAGTCATATCCAAACAAGAACAGCAACACAGAATATGGCGTGGATCTAGACGAAGATTGCATGCGAATATTCTCCGCCCTTGGCGATATCTCTCGCCCCCCATGTACATGCAACGAGACCCAATCGCTGTATGATCACATCGATGCATACATCAAGAATCATCCCAAACACCACATCAAAGACTACAGCATCCACACCGGCAAAGGCGACACCTGCATCGAAGAACTATGTCGATATGTCATGCGTGACGTACTCCAATGGTGGGCCAACTGGCATGGATCTATAGCAGGCCATCGATGGAAGCATTTGTACATCGCATTTACGACCACCTTCGACGAAATAGCAATTCCTCCGCAAGATCTAGCAGATGGTTCTTTCCGTTTCCTGGGAAACTCTCTAGCGGATGTTCTCGAAGGGCTGCGCTTAGAAGGTGTTCATCCGGACGATATCAAATTACTGGAGATGTACCTGTGGCGACAGTCCATCATTCAATATCTCGAAAAGGTCGACCCGACGATCCGCGAGATCTTGATAGGAAAGACTACCCTCATGACTCTATGGAGGGTGTTGACGGCAGGGACTCATAGTGCCGCTGTATTTCTTCTCACCAGTAAGGGTATCCGACCATAGGGGCAGACGGATCATGTACTTGAAATGGCCAGCATATGCGATGCTATCTCCTTAGACTTGGGAAAGGAAGCTCTGGGTGTATTGCAAGATGAACCAACCGAAGCTGTGGCGGGCAAGGATCGCGAGATGCTCAAGCGCGAGCTACGCTGGGTTTATTTGCGGGCTTTGGGGTCCCTCGATCAGGACCCGAGAGGCGCGTTGCTAAGGCGGTTCGCAACCTCGGGATTACATTATGTCCTTCTGAATGATCGCTATCGGGAACGTGTTGCGCATGTCCGATTTCCAATGTCGCCGTATCTGCGCCGCCGAATTGCTGCTTACTATAAGAGTTGATGATATAGTTAAAGAAACTGGCTCGCCATAGCTTCTACGTCTTGATGAATACTCTAGGCTGCCCCTAAAAGCATACTAGAACTGGATCCAGAAACTACTAATCATCCAAGGGGTGGCGGTAAGTTGTAGAGCTAGTTACAAATGGATCTAAGCCATCATAAGTATGTTCGCGAGCTGCAGCATAGCTCAAGAATTGCCAGCTACAACATAACTTCACATTTTCTGCCCTTCGGAGCGATTAGGGAGTATTGCACAATCTTCATCGACTCCGGCGTCGTGGACGGGGCCAATTTGATGCCCGCGCATTCACGAAAGAGCAAAGCAGTAGCTAAGCGAAGCTCCATCTGGGCCATGTGAAGCCCGATACAAGTGCGACTGCCACCACCGAAGGGCGCAAAAATCGCCTCGGGGTGCTGTTGCTTTTCCAACCACCGTTCCAGGATAAATCTGTGTTTTATATAAAAAAAAAAAAAATGGGTATCAGAAGACTCTGAGGTAATCCGTGAAAGTTCGGATGGCGACTTACTGATCAGCTCCAGTCCAGACATTTCCATCACGATGTAAGGAGAAGGACTGCGTGGTGACGATGGCACCTCCTGGAATTTGATGTCCGCACACACTGAACCCAGTAGCTGGAACAATGCGAGGTAATCCAAAGGGAGCTGCCCCGTACAATCAAAGGGCCTCGTTAATCACAGCATTGAGGTACGGCTGTGCTTCCAGCTCCGAGTCTGTAAACCCCTCCGAAAGGGTTGCCACTTCCTCTTCCAGTCGTGACTGAATCTCAGGGTTCGCCATCACCGCCCAGGTGAGGAAGGTCATCGTCACTGCCGTTGTTCCAGAGCCAGCAACAATCAACATGATGGATTCTAGCAACACTTCCCGGTCGGCCATTGTCTCGTCGCTGCTCTTCTCGCCCTTTAGACCCGCAAAGATATTTGCCTTGACGAGTTGTCTTTCTGAGGCTCGTTGGACGACCTCCGCTGTTCTCTTTTCGATATATTGATCCGCTCGAGTAAGAGGATCAAAGTAGCCCAGGGTAAAGGTTTTTAGCGCACAGTAAAGGCTGTAGACCTCTAAGCGGAGCGCCCGAGCCTTGTTGACAAACTCTAGCTCTTCGATGTACTTGCTTTTCTGAATCAGAAAAAACCCAAAGTTGGTCAGCAAGGGCTCAAAACATTGGGCCTGGTAGGAAGGAGGCTAACCTGACCGGTTTCAGTCATGCCGAAGGACTCACTGAAAACCAAAGCGACACGGGCATCACAGAACTGCAGATCTCGGGATCTCCGCAGTCACCACCCACGGGTCCCTCTGTTCAGCTAAGCTGTGGAGTACCACCGAGTCTCTCTGTTTTCTAAAAGACCCACAGGTAGCAAACGCTTATTCGGTCCAGCCCGGCGCTATGCCAGCCAGAAAGAAGGCATTTACCAAACAAGACATGCGGTGTGTCCCCTTTGCATACACCCCGGTAACCTCCCAGGAATAGTGAGGCTTAGACCGGCATAAGAGATTCCGGGTGAATTTCTGAAGAACCGGCACAGTCACATTGGCGCAGATTCACCAACTTGCCGAATTCCCGGCTTATCCACTCTACCTTGTGCATTAAACTCGTGTATGCTGCTTGGGAATCTGGCGTCAAACGTTAGGACGTGGGGTGTTTCGAACATGCAATCTACCTCTAATTTTCAAGGATGTTCATTTGTAACAGCCGGTGCCTTTTCCTTAGCATGGGTATGTCCTTGTTACTGTTGCTAGGAGTGGAAATCGACGGCTTGCATGCATGCATAGTCCTTGAGTTTACTTATCAGAATGCGGGTATATTCGTTGATAATCGTAGTATTCTATTCTTTCATATTGATGTATAGCTGTGTTATGACTACTATAAATACATTTACATGGGTTATAGTAAAAAGAAGAAAGCCAGCTATTGCACAACCCACTTGGCACCAAACTATGGATGATGACGCATGCCTCCAGATCCCAACACAGATTATGGCTCGTTTTTCTGCTTCTGCGGCGGTATACAACCAAATCCCTGGCTGTAACATCAGAGCACAGCTTCAGATACATGGCCTAAGCTTACGCCTCCTTGTCCAGTACTGGGGCAAACTGGCTTCTTAACCGTAAACGCTTGCCATAAAGCAGGAATGCCAGAGGTATTGGTACCAGGGCCACAGCTAAACAGCCCAACAGTGTGCCAGCCCACTAAATGCCCATATTGGCAAACATCTGCGACGAGAAGAGCGGGAACCCTGCTGCCACGAGCGAGCGGCAGAAGGTGTTTGCTGCTAATGCAGATGCAGCGCTGTAGCAGGTCAGAGAGTCTCCGATAAAGAGAAAAGGAAAAGTTGTCGAAAGCATGTGGAGATCAAGGAATGTCACTCACTAGGCGAGATATGTATCAATAAGGTAGTTGAACAATTGAATGAAAATCATGAGCAAACCGGCACCTGTGAAGAGACCGCTCAGGGTCGGGACGATCCAATGGATGGTGTTCGTGAACCCAGTCCAGCCGAGCCAGAAGAGCCCTGCGGAAAATAGAACGCCGCCCACAATTGCTGGCGGTAGTCGCCACTCTGGAATAGGGATATTGTTGTTGGCCTTTAGCTTGGCGTTGTAGGTCTTATTCACATAGACCATGTAAACCGTTGCAGCGAGCAGGCCCACGACATTGGACAGCATCGGAAGCCCGCTGACACCGGGAGACATGGCATAGACGCCTTGGAAGATGCTACTGTAAGCAGATAAAAAGCAGTAAAGTAAGCCATAAACAAAGCTGAGGTAAATCGTGACAGCTATAATAAGCGGCTCTTTGAAAAGCATTTGCAGTGGCCGTCCTAAATTGTTCACAACGATATCTTGTGGGCTAAGTTCGATCTGCTCCTGTTTGCATGGATACCCCAATTTCCAGTAATTTGACGTATTTTGATTGCTTTTGAAGTCAGAATCTGTGGTGCATAGGTTTCCTTGAGAAAGAACAGATTGAGAACACATGTTGTGTATCCCATAAATGAGGGTATATAAGCAGTCCATCTCCAGCCAAGATATGACTTGTTTATAAATCCTCCAATACAGGATGCAACTAGAGGGCCCAGGAAGACGGTATTAGAAAAGAGGGCAATAGCGATCCCACGTGTCGAATTGTCATACATATCAGCGAAGATAGCGGCAACATTGATGAGCGGACTGCTACCGAATACACCACAAAAGAAGCGACAGATTATCAAGGTCTGGAGGTCTTTGGACACAGCAACAGCCGTATTGAAAATACCGAAGCCCAGCATAGCCACGACGATAGGGAGCCGGCGACCGTGGCGCTCAGACAAAGGAGCCCAGACTAGAGGGCCAAACGCATAGCCAGCAATGTAGACTGAGCTCGCCAAAGCCGCCACTTCGACACTGACATGGAATTCCTTGGCCACTGCGCTCATGGACGGACTAAAAACGGCGGAGTCGAAGGTCGAGCTGATGCAGGTGAATGCAAGGATGACGCTGATATACAGCCTAAATTGTCAGGGAAGACAGCCTGTCAGTTGCGGCGTGGAGAAGTTGGATATGAGGTCTTCCTACCTAGTGCGCATCGGCCAGTTCTGAGGAAAAGCCGGGTCATCTGGCCCGTCAAAATCGACGACATAGTCCTCGCGGTCCGGCAGTAGCGGTGGATGTGGTCTACCTCGACCAAAAGAGAGCATATGATTAGCTGCATCATTGGGCAGTCCGCGTTCCATGTCGTTCTGGGTGCTGCTGCATATGTCGAATAACTTGATCGGGAGTGAATCTGGTATGGAACTAAAAGGAAGGTAGGACGACAATGGTTAAGATCTTGTCATCAAATATGTCCGGGGCTACCTTTGGTGTCAACTTTTTGAACGCTGTCGGCCTCTGCTCCCTCATGGGCGCGTCTCCTGTCCCTGTATACTTAAATGCGGTAGTCCGTGGGCGTTTATAGTGGATAAAGCCAACAATGTATCATCACAAATCATAAGCCTATGCCGATATATCCGGTATGCTAGTCACGCTAGTGAACAATCACCAGAGAACCCACCTAGAACGTCGGAGCCCAGGAGCTCACCGCGATAGAGAAAGAGGCGGCAGACGCCTCGGCGTAACCAAAACCGTGGCAACAAGATAATTAAAGGATTCAGACGAGGCGCTGCACACCGAAGTGGTGGTGGGTCTTAGCTTACGCAGTTACCTAAGGCCTCGAGGGCAGTCGTCACACCAGAGATTGAGCAGCGAACCATCATTAGCAAGATTTCAGAGTTAGACTTGATCCTATCCAGTGTCTCAGCAGAACGCGGCCATGGACCTTGGATCTAGCCCCATCTTACCTGCGATCATACTCTTTTTTCTTACTGGAAGAATGACCCAGCCCTTGGGGCGTTGATAGCTTAGCTCGTATCACTTCTTACGCTTGAGGGGCACTCAAAGGTACAACAGGCCTGATGATCGGCACACCACATTACCCAACGAACTTTCAGTCCAAGTGAGATCTCACTGCCTTTCAGTTGGAAAGCCATGGAAGGTGATTCTCCCCAGTGCCATCCCATGGGCTCAAATTATTCAACATGTCTGCGCTGAATAGTAATGCACTATTTGGGGTTATTTGCTGTATCCGGTAGCTTGTGGAATCTCAAATGTATCCGTCTGTGATATGGGAAAGATGGATGGGGTCAACTATTTCTTTACAGATGTATACATGCAACAATAAGTATAGAACGTCTGAAATAAGATCCATGAGAGTAGCTATCATTTCAAGGTACCATAACTTGGAATTATCTTGATGACTATATTTTCATCCTGTTATTTGTAGTCTTCTTTTCTTTCATCTTGCCAGATGCAGTATGAATATAGATTTCCAGTCATGTGACTTGAGGGTTTCTTGGGGGGAGAACGTGAGAAAAGAAGTCGAGTTGAACGGTCGAAAAATGTGGGAGGCGTCGACAGGTTAAGGGAATTGAAATGCTACCTGGTCGGCGGTCGGATGTTCCTGATCCAGTTCCATAACATGAACATGAGCGGATCCATGGCGCTTGGCAGCTGCATGTTGCATTTTAGCAACAGACTGCCAAGGCTTTGCGGGACCTGTACTGGACTCCATGTTATACCATGAAAAATATTTCAGCAATCCCTGTATGACAATACGTTGGCAAGCTCCAGGATGGTGAGGGGCAGCGAGAGGGTTATAAAGCTCCAAGTATACCCTCCGAAAGTTCCGATGTCCCTCATATCCTACGGATTCTCCATTACCATGAGCAACATCTACGGCATCCGGCCCTTGGCCAGCAAAGTCGCCTTTGTTGCCGGTGTTAACGGCATCAGTGGCAATGCCATTGTCGACTATCTAATCAAGCAGCCCGCCAATGAGTGGTACGTCATTTAATCCTCCCTCCCTTGTTCTCTGCAGGCCGCGCCTACTCACCAAATCCTAAGGGCGGAGTTAATCATCACGTCGAGAAGCCCTCTCAAGACCGTCTACACCGACCCAAGGGTGCGATTCGTCGCCATCGACTTCCTTGCGCCGGCCGAAGCCATCGTCGAGAAGGTCAAGGAGCTGTGCAAGGACGTTACCCATGCTTTTTTCACCTCGTACATCCACAACAATGACTTTTCGGTACTGTACAAAAAGAATGGTCCCCTTTTCCGTACCTTCATCGAAGTGGTGGACCTTGCCTGTCCTAAGCTGCAGCGTGTGGTGTTACAAACCGGAGCCAAGGTAAGCAGGATATGTCAAATCTCTTCGGTCTTAGTACACATGATAACTTCTGACTGTTGGCCAGCATTACGGGTTCCAATTCAGGGACATTACAACCCCCTTATTGGAAGACATGCCTCGCTATGAAGGCCCAGAGAACATCTTCTACTACGAGCAGGAAGATGACCTTTTTGCTGTTCAAAAGCGCCGCAACGCCTGGAGCTACAACATCATTCGCCCCGGGGGCATCATCGGCTACAGCTGTCAATGTACGCATTAACCCCCTTCTATCGCCTTTCGCTTCCATTGCTAACATTCTAACCTCTTTTTCAATACGGCAGACCTCGGAATCAACGAAACTCTCCCACTAGCCCAATACTTCCTGATCTGTCGAGAGCTCGGTGACGCACCACGCTGGCCCGGTGATCTGCAAAGCTACCACCGCGTCGAGAAACAATCGTCCGCCCCTGGAATTGCCAACCTTACTGTCTGGGCGGCCACCCAGCCCCACTGCAAGAATGAGGCCTT